ACCAGCCATGGGCAGGTGTGTGAGCTCGAGCGTTCCTGGCCGGGTGTCAGATCTGATCAGCATGGTGCCTGCATCATGTGCAGCATTGGCCTGAAGCCACCCATCAATACGTCTCGGTCCCCTTGGTGAACATGGCTGGTGCAGGTAAAGTGGCAGAGGTGGGTGGTGACAGCAGCTGTGCTCCCCACTGTAGTAGGGGGTCAGGGTAAGCAGGTGAGAGAGTCAGGTCATATCAGCATCTCAGCTAGCTTCTGGGTAATGGACGCGTAAACAGAAGGCTTGGCCCCACCCCATGTCCTACCCTCTGTGCCATGGAGGAAAGAAATGTTGGCTAAAAATGGACTACAGGAGGAATGTCTTACCTACTGGTAAGATCACATTATTTCCCGGGGCTCAGCATATCTGTGTTACTTCCCAGTGTGCTGATGATGTGCTGTTCTTATCTTCATCGTAGTGGGTCCCTATTGTGATAGTCTCTCCTGGGCACCACAGCTGAGCTATCGTAAATCTATTCCCTTAGTCCCAGACTAGATGGAGTGCCTGACTCCTTCCCCCACAGTGAAGAGGATGGAGTGGCTCTGAGGCAGGTGTGGGGACTCTAAAGTCCCTCGCAGAAGGTATACTCATCTTCCCATCTTGCACCAACATGCATCTCTTGCACCAAAAAGGCTTATCTCCACGACTACTCTGTGGCCCTCCAGCCATCTTTGTGAAGTTCTACCAGTTCCAAATGCCCTTCACTGTCACTTGTAGGTGCCTGAGCTCTACTCCATTTCAAATCCCTCCTCCTCCCACAAGACCGTTCTAGATACTCCACCCCCACCTGGAGCCAGGTAAGCCCAGACCAGAAAGGGCCTGACATTTACTGGGCTGAGGGCAGGTTAGTCTTCCTGGCTCTGCCAGAGATAATGAAAAGTGAGGAAGGACACTTTGGAACTGGAGCTGTTTTTCTGCTGGTAATCTGGTCAGTGCCATAGACCTGCTGGGAAACAGAGTGGGTTCTAATAGTCTGGCCTAAAGCTCCGTGAAAGAAGCTCATGTGAACCCTGGTCAGCTTGGTGTGGAGAGCCTGACAGTCATGTAGTAGGCGTTCCATGAATGGTAGCACTTAGAGTATAAATAATAATGGCAATTTCAGTCCCCAGCATGGTCAATAATCTCACTGTTTAACTTCCAACGGATTCCTTATTTGTTCTTCTGTTTCTTCCCCTGACCTGTAAATAAAAATTGTGGTTAATCCATTCACTCCATAAATAATTATTGAGCAAAGTATTCTGTTCTGGGCATGATTGAATCTGTCATTTAGTTTTTGCTAAAAGATATGGCTGGTGCCTGGCATATACTAAGCTGTCAATAAATGTCAGTTTTCATACACCAGTCCCAGCTGCGGAGCGGGAGATAGATGGGTGAAGGAGGGGTCCAGCGAGGGGTGGGCATGCTGCCTTTTGAATTCCCAGCTCAACCCCCCACTTCTTATCTTGTTGACATAACCTTGTTTTGTTTCTAAAGACAGGTGATGGCACTGGGGTATCTGAATGGTTTGTCTTCCCTCTGCCCTTTGGTCCAATTAGACCCCATCTATAGAGGACATCAGTTGTTCCGAATCTATGAAACGGAGGCAGTGATGCCTCCTCATTCTTATACACCAGGGACAGGGCAATGTGCCTGGCCTATTAACATGTTGTCAGCCTATGAACCTCTGCCCCTAGAACATGTCCCAGAGTGTTCTCCTCACCAGGAGAGTTGTGTCTATGTGTGTGTGCAAGCAACTGAGACCTGACACGTAGGAGGTCTGCAGTGAAAGCTGATTGGATGAATGCACAATGGATGCCCCTCTGCAAATGGGGCTCATTTATTCATTCAACAAACATCTACTGAACCAATAATCCATTCAGTGCCAGGCTCTGAGTCAGGGGTTGTGACATTCAAGTTAACAGTAAACAAGTTCTCTGAGGTCTGAACTATGTTCCTAGTTTTCCCCCTTGCACTATCCACCCCTCTACTCCCCAAGGTCTGCCTGGCTCTCAGACCTTTACCCCTAGAGATCAGAGCACCAGCTGCACCATACATTTTGATGGCAGCAGAGCAGATATTTGGGGGCTAAGTCACAGTCCCATCCTGGTTCCATAATGCATACTGTGTACAGTTAGGCAAGGGATTTCACTTCTCAGAGCCCCTGTTTCCTTATCTGAAAACTAGGCATATGTAAAATTGCTCATCTCAAAACTGCTGTGAGGAATAAATGAGATAATGCATACACTTAGAACAATGCCCCATCTGTAGTATGTACTTAGAGAATGTGAATTATTTATTTATGATATGACCCCTCTCTGTCACAAGGGCCTGGCTCTCTCCCACCCCCTCCACAGCACTGTCAGCATAAGGCTGGGCACACAGTAGGTGGTCAGTGAGATAAGACTTCCTGGAAGCAGAGAGATCTGATGGGACTTTCTGGGTCAGGAAACCCTGAAACTGGCAAAGGTCTGGAGACAGAGGAGAGCAGGGAAGGGCTGTACGCGATGGTCTTGGAGGAAGGTCCCAAGGGATAGCTGTGTCTACCCCAGGGAAAGGGCGCTTACTCCCCAGAAGCAGCCCACTCCATGGCTCAACAGCCATGTAATTAGGATTCTCCCTCTCCTTAGGTGACCACATTCTGTATTTTAAGTCATAAGAAGTCAGGGGAACCCACCCACGGTCAGTGAGGCCTGTGCTGGGTGTGGCAAGATTATGAAAGCAGCCAAGTACTTTGGGGGCATTCCCCAAACCGAATCTATATCCATTTCAAAACCCACCTCCTCCTCTTCCAGGTCACCTCCCCCCCACTTCCCCCAACACTTCCTCCTTGTTGAGCAGGGAACAACAGATGATGTAAGCCACAACTACACACAGTCACACAGAGCCAGGGTCGAGTGAAGGGTCTCTCAGGAGAGGTCAGTCCCTCTTCCAGAGCCCTCTGGCTCTGGCTCTTAGTTTTTTCCTCCATGAAATGAGGACTATTCTTTTCCCTGTTGTGAAAATGAGAAACTACAGGTCTAAAAATGATCTTGCCATTGGATGTAAAAAACAAGCCTCGGAAGAACTGGATGTCCATCAGCAGAATGGGGTGGGCCCCTCCTCCCTGTTGGTGAGTGGAGCCCCTGCACTCATCCTCTGTACCAGGGACCTGTCACTGATCAGCATCAACTGCCTGAGGGTTTCCTGGGGCTGATAGAGGGGCTCAGACTCCTGGTTCAGGATGGAACTGGCCAGAGCTAGCCAGGACCCACCTTAAGCCTGGATTTCTACCCTGAAGGCTGCACCCTGGCCAGCTCTTAAGGGCTCTAATCTCACCAGGGGCTTGAAGAGCGACCCCATGCCTGTGCAACCTCCTCCTGGCAGTATCCCCTGTACCCGCTCCAGACTGGCCTGCACAGTTTCACTGTCTAAGGCAGGAGCTGTGGGTGCTCCTGGGCCTGCTGGCAGGGCCCCCACCGACAGGCCCTGGTGGGCTGTAAATCTGCCTTAATTGAAATGTGTGGCAGGGAGGCCCTGAGGAGTGATGTCCTTGCTCTGCCAATGGCACTGCCTTTCTGCTGTGGGTGAGGGGCAATGAAGCCAGCCATGGCCATCTCCTGACCTCAAGCTGCTTCAAGGTTCAGGGTGGTACAGCGCCTCTGACAGAGACAGTTCCCAGTTGGATGGGAGTGGCTTCTTTCTTCATCTCCTTCCATGGCCCCCTTGCCATGGAAGTCCCTGGAAAACCTGGGTTGAGCCACACTGTTCACATGACATGTCCAGTGCCTTTAGTTTGTCAAGTGCTATCACATTCTCCATCTTGGTGGAGCCCCATAGCAGCTGGTGAGATAGGTGAAGACTCTCATGCCCATTTTATAGATGAGGTAGATAGGCTCAGAGAGGCAAATGAACTTGCCCAAAGTCATACAGCTGCTAGATAGCAGGGCTTGCTTATGAGGGACAGGGTGGCACAGGCTCTGTGACCTTGGGCCTCTTAACAACTCTGAACCTTGGTCTTCTCATTTGAAAAATGGGGATAATATAATTCCTATCTTATTGGGTTATTGTGAAGATTAAATGAGACAATCCTATAAGACATATTTAGCTTGGTAGCGGCATAGAGATCTACTCAATAAATGTGACAAATAATTGTGATTATTATCCCAGGAGATTCAGGTGCTGCCCCTGCGCAGGCCCAGCCCCATATGAAGCCCTGGTGCCTCTAGGCTCTTACCTTGTCTCTGTTTAAGACTTGCTAAGATGGGCTCAGGGACTAAGGGTAGAGGTGCAGGGGCAGAGTAAGGCCATTAGACTTGTGTCCAAGGCTTCTTGTGGCCTTGGTTCACAGCCCCAAGCAGCAGCTGCCTGGTTTCTCACACAGATCTCAGGTCTGTTGAGGGTCAGGCTAGGGGCTGGCTGAGGCTTTGGTCCTGGTCTCAGGGGTAGGCTGAGAGTGGGAGCTGATTCTCTGGGCTCTGTGGAAGCCCAGCATCCCAGCATGGGAGAGCTCACCCTTCCTCTATGTCCAGCCACCCCTAAGGTGGAAAAAGGTGAGGCAGGGTTGTATATATTCAAGTACATTTGCCTTTGGGAAGGATAACAAAAATCTGCCTTGGAATAGGATAGCAGGCTCAGGTGATCTGGGGCCCAGCCAGAGTGATGCTATCCCAGGTCCCGAGTCCAGCGGTCTCCCAACATGCCAGCTATGAACCTGGGCCTGGGACACTGCTCCCTTTAGAGCCTGCCTCCTGCTGAGACATCCCCTCCAGGATGGGGCTCAGGCAAGTAGCCAGATTCTACCATGGTGCTCAGAGGCTTACAAGGGGAGGACCAGGTGAGGCCCCCCCATCTCATTTACATCCTTTCAGACACCCCCTTCGGGAGCCCTGCAATGAGAAGGAGTAGGGTACAGTTCTGGCCACACCTCCTGGGACATAGGAGACCAGTGGGCATTTCTGTGTCTAAGATGAGCTCCGTGCACACTTTAGGCCTGTATGGCCGGATCCTTAGCATTTAAAAATTTTATTATGACTGCGTTTGCTTAAATATATATATATATTTATACTTCTATGTGTCCACCGCCCCCAGCCCCTCCCCAGTTCCTAGTTTTTCCCTCTGGCTTTCTGTCTAGTGGCCGTGTAGGGCAGCACCGTCTGCGTGCTCTTGTCTGACACTGTCTGGGTGCTGCTGTTCCTCGTGACCCTTCGTGTCTGTTCGGGGGCTGTGGTGGGGCCTGAACGATGGCTGGTCAGTGGAGAGCGCCTTGGCTTATATGGGGCTGGGGAGGGCTGGTGGGGGCCTGTGTGGGCCTCTGTATGTGGAGGCTCAGGGGGCACCCCCACCTCCTCTGCTGCCTCCTCCTCGCCGTCCCCCTCCTCATCATCACAGCACAGTGCATGGTAGAGAACTTTGTCACTGAACCGCACCCTCTCCCGTGTCCCTGGAGTCCGCTGGGGCAGCTGGCTCTTTGTGGGGCCAGCGCTGAAGGCCTCCTCGCTGGAGGAGTCTGGGGTTTCCACTCGTGGCCCATTGGGGATGGGTGTGCCACCGTTCATGAGCCGGTAGTCAGGGCCAGCCCCTGGCCGCATAGACTCGGGGCCGTCCACGGAGTCTGAGGGGGTGGAGACGTCCAGGAAGGAGCAGAACTCCCAGCTGTCTGAGAGGATATCAGCTGTCATGAAGTCCAGGTGGCCCAAGTCAAAGGGGCCGCCCACGCCTGCCTTGTCGCTGCTAGAGGTGCTGCTCACAGTGGCTGTGGTCCAGTCATCCGGCTCCAGTTCAAAATCGAAGTCTGAGGTTAGCTTATCGATCTGGCTCACCACCTGACCAGGAAGGGGAGGGGAGATGAGATGGGCCAGGCATGAGTGTGCCTCCACCCTGCCCTGGTAGATCCCCTAGCTGGTGACTAGACCTGACACCACAGGTTTGTGTGCCCTGTGGAGGGCCCACGGGACCAGGATGGACAGAGCTTGCCATTTGCCACTTTGCAGTCCCTTGGGGGAGGAGGTCTGCTTTCCGACCATTCTCACGGCCCTCTCTCCCAAACAGCCACTGTACTGGGCAGCCCTGGCGAGTAGGACTTGATCTTCCCTTCCTTGAGAGGGGGCCACTTAAGAGGGGCTGAGGGACTCCAGCAAGCTCATTCAGGAGATGAGCGGCCCACCCACCTTCAGAAAGGTAATGACATGAGGTGACCTTTCTAGGCCTTCTGGGCCAGTCCCTACAGCCAATCAGTGGCTGTCATCCATAGGTGCCCACCAGCCCCTCATGACAAGATGAGTGTACAGCACTGGCTAGATTCTTCACCGCTACCCTGAACCCTTGAGCCTCCTGCCTCCTGCCTCCTTGCCTTTCCTGTCCAGTGATGGGCAGAGATCAATCCTGGCTTGTTGAGAGAAGGAATAAAACAAGTGTTACTTGGTGGATAATAAAGAAATCATCTATCCTGAGCCCAAATCTGCCTTTTAAAAGCACTTGGGGGCAGCTCAGCTGTGGAGAGTGGCTGCACCCTGCCCTGCCCCATGTAAAGTGAAGCCTTGGCTTCCATACAGGCAGCCTCGCTTTAAGACACTCCCTTGCTGGGGCCCCGGTCAGCACAGAAAGCAGGGGAGAAGGTGGTGAGGGCAAGAGGGAGATGCAGTCGGACATGTAGGGAGAGGACAGCATGAGAGAAGGGAGAGAGAAGATTCTGGCTGAAAATAATGAAAAAAGTCGCAAAGTGGAGCGACCAAGTCAGAGCCACAGAGCTCCAGAGACAAAGAGATACACTGAGTCATCAGGACCAGAATCTCGCCCCCAGCGCCTCTCCAGTGTTCTTTACCTGGGGTCAGAGCAGTCAATTAATTAATTAACTAATTAAGTCCTTAATTCAAGGAACATTTACTGAGGACTACTGCTGTCCAGGGATGTGCTAGATGTCTGACGAGGAGTCAGGATGGAGAGAACTCCGAAGCAAAGGAGAGAGCAAGAGCAAAAATGAGAGCCGGAGTGGTCTGGGTCAGTGGGAAGAGGACTTGGTCAGGGGCCAGCGGTAGGACGCAGGTGACCTGGTTGGCCATTTCCCTCTCTAGGTCTCAGTTGCTGAGTCCGTACATGGAGAGGCTGGGTGAAGGAGGCTCTCTCCAAGGTTCCTTCCATCTCTGAGATCCTAGGACTCTGCCCATAGCAGCAACGCTGAGAAGCTACTGTGAGTGTTGGTGCCTCAGGATGTCCCCTCACCACGGCCCCAGGCCAGAAGTGAACAAAACACTTGGCTGAGGCCTGCAGAAGAGCTGGGGGAAGCAGGACACTGGGGTTCCAGACTTAGCTTGGACACCGCTGTCTTTGAGCAAGTCACATAACCTCTCTGCACCTCAATTACATTTACCACCAAGTGGTAATGACAACCCTAGCCCTGCCAACCTCACCAGCACTTCATGGGGAACAGTGAGGAGGGCAGCAAAGGGGCTCTGTGGAGCACTGGGGACAGAGCGACATCACCTCCCATCTCTGAGCACCTACCACACGTGAGGCTTTCTGCTCACCAGATCTCTACCCATCAGATTGTTCTCTACTGAGTTTATAGATGAGGAGTTGGAGGCACTTGTCCTGGGGGAGACTGAGATCCTCACCTCTGCAGCCCCCCACAAAATCGCACCCTGCCATGAGGTGCCATGACGCCTGTGGCTTGGCAGGCAGTGGGGAAGGGCCCCACCCTCCAGTCTGGCAACTCCCTCCTTGTGCTGCCCCCCCCAGAAAGACTCCCTCTCTGTAAAGAAGCTCCCAGCACCCAGAAGCTCCTGCCCCACCCACGCATCCTCTGAGTCTGGCGGGAACTCTGGTCTCAAGCGAGGGTCCTCAGACTTGCGTGTGTCTCAGGCCTCTCCCCAGAGTCTGACTCTGCAGGCCTGGGCTGGCACTGGAGCAGGCTCACGCCAGCATCTCCCCGCACTGTGCTGCTGCTGCTGCTGCAGGGACACCTGGAAAACCACCCACCTGGGGGACTGGGGATTTAAGCTGGGTGGAACCACAGCAACTCAAGGCATTGCGAGCCTCAGGAGAGGTCCTGCTATGCTCTCAAATGAGATGCCCCGATCAAGCCGGAGCTGTTGAGAGTCTGCTCCTGCCTGCGGGTGGGGAGACTGCCAGTAGGAATCTGGAGTTGAATGACTCGGCTATGATCTCACAGGGTCAGCTGAGGCCAGGCAGGGCCCAGGAGCTGAGCCTCTTAATGCTCAGTGAGGAGGAGCCCCCTGTGTCCCATCCCAGCAGCAGGAAAGGTCCAAGACACACACAGCAGGAGCCCGAGAGCCTTCAGGCCTGGACATGCTCCCCCTACCCAAGAATCCCTAGCCACCCCTTGCTCAGGAGGATTTCACATCAGGGCCCTGTTCCTTTTTCCTTAGGTCACCCCTCTTGGATTGCCATGCAGGGAAGGGAGAGAAGGAGGGTTGGGTTTGGGTCCCAAGACCACCACGTCTTGGAGGAGAGACCTTAGGCAAATGATTATCCCCTTCCCAGTCTTGGTTTTCTGCCCTGTAAAAGAGAATGATGCTTCCTTCCTTACCCAGGATGATAAAAATTTAACAGATATGAATGTGCCTGGAACTACAGAGTCAGCACAGCTAAATCCTCAAGACCCTGGGCTCTGGATCCAGACCTAGGGTCCAACCCCGGCTTCACCACTTGCCAGCTGTGGGACCTTGACCAAGTTACTCATCTTCTCTGTACCTAAGTTTCTTTATCAAAGGAGAATTCTAACTGTACCTCCTTGAAAGAGCTGTTGGGAAGATTTACTGACTTAATGCACTTTGGAAAGCATAGGAACAGGATAGACTACCAATATCCACTACGCACCAATGGGTGCTAACATGTGACCATGCCCCTGGCACCAGGCCCAAGAGCAGATGGGAATCAGTTCTGCACCAAAGGAATGATTCTGGTGGGGAAATTTCCAGTGTCTGTGGAAAAGTAATTGGATATATTGGGCTTCTCAAATCCAAAGCACACAGGTAGTACCTATTTTGCTGAAAGTAAGGCTGTCTCTAGACAGAATAGAACCAGAAGAGGTTCTAATAGCTAAATGTCTTTGAGGCTCACAAACAAATCTGGCTCAGTCTTTTAGGTGGGACAGGTCACAACCACTTGATGAACGACCTAAGTGAAGAACAGAAGGGAAGCTATATACCTAAGGGTACCTGGCTTTCACAAGGGGGCCTGGGTCAGTCCACAAACTCTGCTGCCCTTCCTGGTGCCTCAATTCATACTCGTGTAGACGGTAGGCCCTGTGCTACCTGCTTCCTTGCTTTGGATGTCTTTGGTAATCTGTGCTTTCTCCCTGAGATTTAATAATCATTTTGCCTACATGTAATTTGGGATTGTCTTGGAAAGCAGTGAAATAATTATATACACAGAAGTAAAAAGAGGGGGGAGAGAGAATGGAGAGAGAAATGGAACCATAAAAATCACAGAACCATACAACTTTCAAGCCAGAAGGGATGGAGATGCTGTTGAGGCCACCTGCTCCATTGAGCTTGCTGATGGGGAAAATGAGGTCCAGAGGCTGGAAGGAGCTGAGCTGAGACCAGAAAAGTTGGGTCCTGATTACTGGGCATGGCATCTTAAGACCAAGAATGACCTGTTCTGGAGGGACCAAGAGGGAGCACTAGAGAGGAAGGGCAGGACTGGGGGCTGTGATAGAACCCACTGGGGTTCTGAGCTCTGTCCCAGGGTGTCCCTGATTTCTATCCTGGTTACAGTCTTAGCTTCCCATATCTGAAAAACTGTACCCATCTATCCTACTGGCTGCAACTGTCCTGCTTCATGGTGCATTTAGGAACTTTCTAACTGGCCAAGAAGGCCATGTTGGCCCTCTGCTTCCAGTCCTTCCATGCTCAAACTGCTGAGCCTCCCAAACCAAGTCCCTACCAACCACCTTTCCTTCCCAGCAAGCAACCTCCATCCCGCCAGGCCTGCCTCCTCACCACCCCTACACACTGCACCGAGCTCACATCTGTCTCAGGACCTCACCTGATGTGCCTTCCCTCCTTTCCTTACATGCTTAGTCTCTGTCATTCTCTGTCTTCAGGTCAAGGGAAGCCATGTGCCTAAGGGTACCTGGCTTTCACAAGGGGGCCTGGGTCAGTCCACAAACCCTACTGCCTTTCCTGGTGCCTCAGGAAGGAAGGAAGCCTTCCCTGACTCCCAGCTGAAGTCAGGGTCCCAAAACGCCTTGCACCTCTCCTTATAATATTCTACAATAGGCTGGGTATGGTGGCTCACCCCTGTAATCTTAGCACTCTGGGAAGCCAACATGGATGGATTGCTTGAGTTTAGGAGGTAGAGACCAGCCTGAGCAAGAGTGAGACCCCCATCTCTACTAAAAATAGAAAAATGAGCCAGGTGCTGTGGCAGGCACCTGTAGTACCTGCTCCTTGGGAGGCTGAGGCAAGAGGATTGCTTGAGTCCAAGAGTTTGAGGTTGCTGTGAACTATGAGGATGCCAGGGCACTCTACTCAGGGTAACAGAAAAACAAAACAAAACAAAAACAAAAAAACAACTACAATATTTATTGCTGCAACAATGTTGCACATATATGTTATAATGTGATTGATGTCTATCTCTCCACTGGAAAGTAAACCCTGTCTGGGTAGGGCTGGGTCTGTCTGCCCACCATCATATCCCTGGCTTGGCACAAGGATCAGCACCTCTATGAACACAGCTATTGGATAAGTGGATGAGGTGTAAAGAGGGCTTAATAAAAACTGCAGGGGCTCCTTTCCTGAGGAAGCAACCCGTGGTCCTGGACATCCCAGGGATGTTACTTAGCCACAGCTCTTCCTACAGCCCTAGCCAAGCCCCCTCTAAAAGGAAAGCATTTCTGTGTTCCTAAGGCCCTAGAGCCAGGACTGAGGACCTGGGAGTCCCAGAACCAGCACCTCCCCCCCACCCCATCCCTACCTCCCCTTGCCCGACAAGCATTACCTACTTCCCTCCCTCCTAGCTCCCTGGGCAGCAGGTTACATAACTGGGGATTCTGCATTATTTATGGCCACTGATTATTTTTTAATTCTGTGATTACGTTATTATCTTCCTGGGGGGCTGTGGAGTTGGGGAGGGGGGAGCGAGCTGACCGTGATTCATGGCTCTCATCCTGCAATTTGCCCTAATTGGCCAGGGAGCTTCAGTGAATCTGTCCAGAGGAAGAGAAGGCAAAGGGAAAAGGGAGGAAAGGAAGGCGTGAAAAAAAATAATAAGAAAAAAATCCGCGCAATTCTTGCTGAGCTGCGGGTGATGGAGCTGACCCACTTTGGCACAGCTCCGTGGTCCCCAGCCTCTCCTGCTCCAGCTGCTTCCTGGCTAGGCCACATTTATCTCACACTCGCTTTCCCCACCACCTTCATATACAGCTCCTTACCGACTGGACCGTACAATTAGGTGGCCAGAAAACAGGATGCCACAGTGCCTGCTTCCCACAAAAATCAGGTAGGGAGGATCCTCTACTGTCACCCAAGCTGGGGAAAGGTTGTGCCCACCTCTCCATCCTCCTGGGGCCAAAGTGGGCAACTGTGCCCTTAAGTTATTTCCCACCCAAGAGTCACTGATGAGTTGGGAGATGCAGGAAGCCAATGCAAGGATCATTACTCAGCCCCTTTTTTGAATGACATCTTGTAGGGGGACCAAGGAGAAGAAGGCGAAGTACTTCCTCAAGGTTATGTTCAATATGGAGCGGTAACAAGAATGAGGGCACTTAGCTCTGCCCTTGGGAGTTTTCAGTTGGTGGGTACCAGGACAGTGGGGAGGAGATTCCCATTCACCCAGAAACAAGATCAGGAGACTTCTGGAGACCGTGCTGGATTCTGACTGAGAATAAATCCAAATTCCAAGCCATGCTCTGCAAGGCCCTGTGTAATCTGACTCCCTGCTCCCTCTCTGACCTTTCTTCTTGCTCTTCTCCTTGTCCACCCCCTCCAGCTGCACAGGCCTCCTCGCTGATCCAAATGTGCCAAGCACGCTTCCTCCTCAAGACTTTGGTACTGTGGGCAGTGTCCACTCCCTGGAATGCTGTTTCAAAGAAGGCCATGGACTTGTACCCTCACTGTTGTTGGGTCTTTGTTCAGAAGCCACCTTATTGGAGACCCCCTTCCCACCCATCACTATCACTCTCTAACCCCCTTCTCTGTTGGCAGGGTCTGAGCCTACCTCCTACATGAGAAACTAAGGGCCCCAGCCAAAAGGCCAGGACTTGGTCCTGACCTCCCTGGTCACAACTAAGAAGCTGCTATGACTCCAGAAAACAAGGCTGTGCATGAAGCTTTGGCTTGGCAGTGCTAGAACAACTCATTAACAACACCTAACAGAAATGGAGCTAGCTTTGTGCCCCTCATTGCGCTAAGTACAACTTCTCATTTAATTCTCACAACCACTCTGGGGCAGGAGTGGGGGAGGAGTTATAAAAATTCAGCATCCTCATTCTTACAGATGGGAAGACAGAGCACAGAGAGGTAAAGTAACTTTCTCAAGTCTGAAAAGCCAGGAAGAGGGTAGAGCTCAGATCTGAATGGAGGCATCTGGCTGCAGAGCCCATGCTCATAGCCCCTGAGTCGTGCTGCATCTCTAAATTAAGATCTACAGAATTTTGAGGATCTTAGAGAGCCTGCTGGGACTGGCCTAGTATCCTGAAGTATTGGGGAACCCAGACGAGATGAAGGCTAATTAATGATTGACTGTCATATCCCTCTGCAGCATAATTTTACCTTTCAAAGTGCTTTTACATCCCTCACCTCATTTAATCCTTTAAATGACTCTCCCCCTCTGGGATAGAACTTGCCCCCTATTACCCAGGGAGCCAGTGGCAGAGCTGTAGCAAGGATTAGGAGGGTGGGGAGGAATGGGAGAGGGAGTTCTAAGTCCTCTGGGATTGTGAGTAGGTGTTAGTTCACCCATCACATGCCAAGTCTCCAGTAAATCCTTGTAAGATCTCTCTGAGCTACAAATCATGATTATCTCCATCTCAGAGATGGGCATACGAGGGCTTGGGGCTTAAGGAAGAAGTGCTTGAGTGTCTCCTATCTTTCAGTGAGTTTTAGGCTATTTGCTCAAGAGGATGAGGAGGGTCAGAAGAGTGTCTAAGGCTGGGGAAGGGGAGCATCAGACAGAGGAGGAGGAGGATGGCAAGAGGAATGAAGCTAAGCCCTTGCTCTCAGCTTAGCATCCTGTGAAGACCTCTGCATGGTCCTATATGTGACTCTTGTCTCCATACTAAGCACTTTGCCAACCTTAGACAGGAACCTGAGTGGTGGGCCCTGAGCTAGTGCTGGCGGGGCAATGGGTGTGATGAGGGAACAGGTGTTTGCCACTCTCTCAACCTTGAGCCTACCCATGCTCGCAATGGAAAAATGACACACAAAGGGACTAAGGAGAGCCAGGAAGACCCAGCTGTGTAGCCCCCTCCGAGGACTAAAAGCCAAGATCACAGTCCTAGTTACTCCCACCTGGTAACTTTATCCCTGGTAAATCCCATTCCATAGGAAGTCAGTTATGGCATCTCTTCTTCTGGTGGGGCCTCCCAGAGCCTCTCCTGCCTTCCCCCACACCCCCCTCTAGCCATCACCCCATCCTTAGATCCAGGCTGGGGCATGTACACAGGAGTTCTGAAGCATGTCCCCCTCCCCAGCTGGGTGCCATTGGCAGCGGGCAGGCAGTGGCATACGGGGTAGATTCTGGTTGCTGTAGCAACCTGCCAAAGTCCTGGGTGGAGGCACATGGCCTACAGGGTGGGTGGGGGGAGGGGACGTATCTTTCTCTGTCCAGGCTCAGGCCTCTAGGCCACATAGCCCTTGAACCTGGAGCTCTGCTGTTGGAGACATGGGAGTGAGTGAGTGTGAAAAGGGAAGAAGGGGACGTCCAAAAGCTCCACAAAGAAACCCTCATGCTATAACATCACAGTTTGAGCACAAGGTAATATCTCTTACAGGCCCCTGTCAAAATGCCAAGAGATCATCCAATTGCCCACCTGCTGAAGCCCAGAATAGGCATTAGGAACCTGAGCTCTAGGCTAAGTTCTGTCACTGAGAGGCTGTGTGACCTTGGAGAAGCCACTATTCCTCTCTGGGTCTCAGTTTCTTCAATAGTAAGTAGATAGGGCTGTTCTGAAGTTACCTGTGAGAACCCTATGAGCTCTGATGGCAAAGCTGGGGAAGAGGGAATGCTCAGCTGGAAATAGGCTTGCAGTTGTATCAAAGCTGACTCCCAGGATCTTTCTGGGTGGGCCTGCTGGGGCATGTTCCTGCTCAAGACTGAGACTCTGGACAGCTCCCGTGGCCTTAGTAGGACTACAGAGCATCTGAAATAAGATGCATGGGGTAGAGGGCATTGTACTGCCCAAAGACGTTGAGCCCAGACCCTAGCCTTTCCAGCCCATGGGCATAAACACCACCACCTATGAAAAAATGGTCATTCCTACCTCCTAAGATAGATGTTCCTAGCAGGCCCCATTGAGGCTGACCCTGGGCAGAGGGGTGACTCTGCCCAACCTTAACTCCTGTCCTGCCATCTCTATAAGTTCCAACTCCTTGACTCCCTGACTCTGAATGCAGCACCCTTCAAACAACCCTTGCTACTTAGTTCTCAGACCAGGCTGAAAAGCTACTTTGCCAGTCTGGGCTTGGTACCTACCATCAACCCCCCTCCTTGGCCCTCCTAGAGCCCCTATCCTCCCTGCACAGCTGGCCAGGGAGAGCTTGAGCCCATAACTTCAGCTCAATCACTCTCCTTGCCATCTCTGCAGGGGCCCTGGTTATAAGGAGTTGAAATTTGCCTAAAGCCCACCTGGCTGGTGTAATGGCACCCAGCAGGCAAATTCAGGCTAGTGGCTCAGAACGCTGGTCATGCATTTTGGACTTGAACGCAGCCCAGGGGGCAGGGCCGAGGACATGTGTACCTCATTACCCCAGCGATGTGGGAAGCAGTAATTAAACCAGGCTCCACTTAGAGAGACAGAGGGACACACACATCCCAGTATTTCTCAGTGGCTTTTCAGCCTTGGCAAAAAACCTTCAGAACTGTGGGATGGGGATACAATCCCTTAAAGGAGATTCTTACCCCTGCCAATGTCTACAGGAACTCTGATACCCACTAGCAGCCCCCCAGGCCCATTCTTAGCCCAGGATCAAGAGTCCCGAGTATCTGTGTGATCTCTGGAGGAAACCTTTGAATTGGGCCTTGAGCAGTGGGACTGCCTCAGTAGAGCCATCCTCACTCTCCCAGGGGCCCTCATGACCAGCTCAGAGTCTAAGAGGCAGATGGTAGAGTCAAAGGTCAGCTTAGGTCCCAGAAGAGTCTTCTGCTAAGGAGCTGCAGTAGGATTCAGTTTTTACCAGCCACCTTGGCACCAATGAGTGCTAACTACAGAGATACAGGCCCACTGACATGCTGCCCGAGTAATCTGTCTGTAATACCAAGGCCCCTCCAGCTATGGTGCATGGTGACATTTTAGCAAAGTAGATTGGGGAAAGGAGAGAAAGGAGGTACCCAGCAAAGCAACACATGTGTACACACACCTTTGCACACTCAAACACATGTGCCAAGCCCAGGAAGGGTGATCTAGGGTCACCCCTCACTTACCTCCCTCAGCTCCTTGGCCACCTCCTTGAGCTCCCGTAGGATATCCTCAAGCTGCCCGATGACCATCTTCATGCGCTGTCGAATCCGCTCCCGCTCACCACCACTGCTGGGGTCGTCACTGGGCTGCCCGAGGTCCGGGGTGCCCCGAATGTTCATCCTTCACCACGTGGCCGCAGGCCTGCCCATACTCCCCCCAGCCAGGCACACACTGCGTCTGCCTCCACGGAGCCCCCCTCAACCGGGCAGAGCTCCACATCTTAACGGCCCCCCAGCCTACCCTGGCCCTGGGCGGCCCTCACCCAGCCCCTTCCCCTTGCCACTCTGCCTCCTCTGCCTCTGGGTGGGGAACAGGACACCCGAAGGGAGAAGGGAGACAGAGTCTGATGGAGGGGGTCAAGGTGAGGACACAGCAGAGCAAGGGGAGGGGCCCTGGGTCCCAGGAGTGGCCTCCAGCACTTGAAGTGCCTGTGGGTGTGCAGAGCTGATCTCTGCTTGAACCTGAACACAGAGGCAGGGGGATGACTGTGCAGGGACTAAGGGTAAGGGATGCCCTTGGGATGGGGGGAAGGTAGCAGTAATCCCCTCACAACTCCTAAGCAGTTGAAAAAGCAGAGGTCTCTGGATGTAACTGACACCTGCAGAGGGATAGTGGCCAGGGTCTTCCAGATGTGGGGGGGGGGTTTCCAGATGTGGGCAGCTCTGGGGAGGGAGCTGGATTGGAAGAGGGCAGCCCCCTGCAGAGAGAGCAAGCCTGGCGTCAGCCCTCCCAGGCTGCAGCACCAGCCGGCAAGGCAGTACTGCTGCCTCCCTCCTCTCCCTTGCCTGCACCCATCCTCTCTGGGGATTTATTTTTTTTTCTTTGTGGGGAGGGGTGGTGGAGGTAGACAGTTTACAGCACAGCCCCTCCTCTGGTGGGAAAGGGAGGGAGACCCCTGCTTTAGAAGCATTAGTCCTCAGCCTGCTACGGGGCACCCTGGCCGCGGATCCCCCTGCCAGCGAGGCCTGGCCCCGTTGGTTCACCAGAGGGCCTCTCCAGTCACCCATCCTTCCTCCTAGCGCCCCTAGGGCGCCTTCGTTCCTGGAGGACCCTCCCTCCTCCAGCCCCGCCTTCCCTCCGAGCCCCCGCTCCTGGACTCACCAAGGGTGGGGGCACCGGCCTTCCCTCCTAGCAGCGTCGGGGGCCAAGCCCCAAGACGAGGTTGGGGGGCCCCCAAGGCTCCCTAGGGCGGGCTTCTCTCTCTGGACCCTTCGGCCTCCGGCCTCCGGGAGGTCCTCCGAGCCGCGGCCGGAGACATCTGGGCGGTGGGAGGGGGCGGGGCCTCCGCGCTGCAGGGAGGGGGGCAGGAAAACCCTCCCTCAGCCCTCACCAGGCTCCAGGTCGGTAATGAGCGAGGGTCCGGCGGATTCGGGGCTCCGAGGCCACAGGTGACCCGGTCGCAGGGCGGCCGAGGCGAAGCCGGGCCGGTCCCAGCGCGTGAACCAAAGTCGGAGGGCTGGGAGGGCACCGGGATCCCCTCAGCCCACGCCCGGCATTTCCCGGGCTCGGCACCGTCCGGGAATCGCTCTGTGCAGTTCAGATCGGCGGGTCTGGGCTCTGTTGGGGTCTGCCCTGCCCTACCCTGCCCTGCTGGGAGTGAGCTGGCACCGCCGGGCGCTCGGGACGCGCTAAGCCCGGACCCAGAATGTCCGCGCTCCGGTACCCGCGGCGTCCGGAGCGATCGCGAGGGTCTGCTCAGCCCAGTCTAGCGCTTAGCGCTGGGTGAGAACGCTCCAAAGGCTCAGTCCACGTTCGGAAAAGTCCAGAATCCGCCGGGTCCAGGGGGGAAGGGCGGTGTCGGCTGCGGGGACCCTGTCCCCGGCGGGCCCAGCCGAGAGCGCGCGAAGCTGAGGGCCCGGCCCCGCTAGGTTCGTCGGCTGGGGCGCAGGCGGGAGCGGTACTGGGCGGAGGAAAGGAGAGGAGGCTAGAAGAGGCGAGGGGAGGAGGCACGGCG